ATCCATCCATCCATCCATCCATCCATCCATCCATCCATCCATCCATCCATCCATCCATCCATCCATCCATCCATCCATCCATCCATCCATCCATCCATCCATCCATCCATCCATCCATCCATCCATCCATCCATCCATCCATCCTCCATCCATCCATCTATCTATCTATCTATCTATCTATCTATCTATCTATCTATCTATCGTTCTATCTATCGTTCTATCGATCTATCTATCGTTCTATCTATTGTTCTATCGATCTATCGTTCCATCCATCCATCCATCCATCCATCCATCTATCTATCTATCTATCTATCTATCATCTTCCTATCCATCTATCTATCTATCTATCGTTCTATCTATCGTTCTATCGATCTATCGTTCCATCCATCCATCCATCCATCGTTCTATCATTCTATCTATCCATCCATCCATCCATCCATCATCTATCTATCTATCTATCTATCTATCTATCTATCTATCTATCTATCCATCCATCCATCCATCCATCCATCATCTATCTATCTATCTATCTATCTATCTATCTATCTATCTATCTATCTATCCATCCATCCATCCATCCATCCATCTATCTATCTATGAGTGTGATGAAGTCCAGTGAGCAGCGTCTGATTGTCTGCTGATGAAGGCCTCTGGCTGTGAGCTGGACTCTAATTAAGCTGATGATGAATGGCTGATGTGGTTTGTCGGCTGTATTGATTGGTCAGGACGAGCATCACTTTGGTAATAATACAGAATAAAGAATAAACAAGCTTTTATGAAACTCATCAGAGTAACAGATTCAGTGCACATATTAAGGATCATGTTTATATGTTCCATGTGCTTTCATGTGCTGATCAGATCAGTCTTTGTGTTATGAAAATACTTGAAATATGCTGGCTTTCAAATGCATGCTTTTTTGATCTTCTGGTGGCCCATTATTTCAGCTGCATTATTCATATAGAGCTTTTTTCTATTGTGTGTTTGAGAGCAGTGGCGAAGGCCCTGCTTTATTTTATTATTTTTTTTATTTCATGTTGTATTTGATGTTCCATCTGTCATTTGCAGATACATTTTGCATTTAGTTCAGATGATCAACAACACACTAATATTATATTTTTGTATATTGTCTTCATACAGTATCAAGAGGCATTCATTTTTATGGCGCCAAAAATAGTTAGAATACATAAAATACATTGCTGATTTTTGCAATCTAAAATCTAAGCATCCATAAAACTAGATAAATTAATTCATCTGCAAAGTTGCATAAGATAATAAGACTTGCATTCAGAAAAATATTTGATTATTTATTTATTAATTAATTATAAGTCACATGCACCAATGCATCAGTCTAACAACATATTGAGATTTATGCTTAAAACAAAAAAAGGTAAAAATGTGCTAATGTGTTAAGAAAAATAAATTTAATTCAAGATATACCTTGTATTCTCAGCAAATAAGTCTTATAATATTATTAATTTATTTTAATAGTGTTTATCCTCCTAAATATTTATCTACTGGAATGTCTACCCAACAATTGTTTAGCATTTCTAATGTTTTGCATATCTAAATATCATAGTTTTTTTTCTCTCACTTTGACTTTAAATAATTAAATAAAATATAAATATATAAAAATAAAACACAATAAAATAATAAAAAAATAATAAAAAAAAATTAATTTGTATAGCATTGTCCATATCTATCTATCTATCTATCTATCTATCTATCTATCTATCTATCTATCTATCGTTCTATCTATCTATCTATCTATCTATCTATCTATCTAAAAACATGGTTAAAAAGTAAAAATTGCCAATTTGTAAAAAAAAAAAAAACTCAAGATACATCATATGTGAGTTTTCCCTTTAAAAAATATCAATAAATATATAAAAATAAAACAATCAAAAATAATAAATGATATCTATCTAAAAATAAATTGCCAATGTTTTAAGAAAAAAATAATTCAAGATACATCATATTCTATATTCTATATAAGTCTTACAATATTATTGATTTATTTTAATAATGGTTAGATATTTTAATAGAAAATATTAAAAGAAAAATATATTTCGAAGTGCATTGATGGATTCATGTTTAAAAAGACAAAACAAAGACATCAGACAGGGATTGTTCTCCTCTCCCTCTTTTTATCTGTCTGTGTCTCTTTTCTTCCCACTCACACATTAATTATTATTCTCATTAATCTCAGCAGATATCTTCTCTGTCGTTGCTTTGCTCCTCGAGCACAGAATCCTGAGCTCATCTCTGCGTGCAGCTGTTCAGTCCTCAGAATACCAATGAGCCAAATTCCCACTCCATGACCGATCCCAACAGGGAGGAACGACGGAATCAGTAATATCTTTGATGCTGCATGCATTTTTACACCACAGCTACAGCTACACTCCACTGTAAGTAAAGGGAATCCAGGTCAGATCTAATCTGACTCCATTCCACATGCTTCAACCGAAGACAATGTGGTTCGTATTTGGAAAAATTCACGTCATCACTTAAACCTGATGCATTTCTGGAAAAAAGGAGTATGTTTAAGTTGCATGAAGCTGCTCATAAATGCTGGAGTTTCTGCATGCACAGCATCGCCCTCCGGAGGCCTGGAGAGGAACTCAATGCATTGAGGACACAATCACAGAACAAAATACATATACTGAATACGATAATGCAATTTTGAGTCTCTTTTTATGTGTGGAATATGTAGCAGTGAACAGTCTGTGTGCATACCTAAAAAACATAAATAAGCCTAATGATAACCAGTCTTCATTTTCCAAACTAAGCTACATTTTTATGCACCTGAATTTAAAAGCAGGTGTTTGATTGTAGCACCAGTCTATGCAGCAGTTCATGCGACTGAGCCCTGAATCAGAGCAGAAGAAGAGCGAGAAGCCCATACCTTGATGGTGGGAAGCACTAAATCCATGGCGGCACATTGTCGAGGGCTCAGACTGCGAGCTTCCTCCCGGATCACATGCTCCTGAACACAGAGAAAGACAGAGTCAATTACTCTTTACATCCGCATTAAAATGCACTTCAAATCTTGTCCCACATTCATTTCCAACACGGGTCTAACTATATATACCACCTCATGTAAAAGAATTTGAATGAAATGCCATGCATAAAATGACTTGTTCAGACATGTTTGCTGTTTTTATTTGATTTGATTTGAGCTAATTATAATATGCATGCCCTCCATATTATATTTTATTTTAGCTATAATAATATTTATATAAATAAAACATATAAGACCTCCAATAAAATGTTTTATTTTGTTTTAGTAATAAAATGGAATATTTTCTTTTATGAAGGGTGTACTGTATATATTTTACTTCATAGCTAAAATGATAAAATAAAATAAAACAAAACAAAATAAAATTAAAAATATATTTTCCTCCATTTCCAAAGCTGGTCAAGCTAAACTACTTTATGTTAAACCACTTTGATAAAATGCAATGCATAGAATAATTCTGAGAGTTTAGATTTGCTTGACAAGTTTGCTGTTTTTTATTTTATTTCAGCTGTAAAGAAAAATATACATGCCCTCCATTATTTATGTATATATTTATTTTAGCTATAAAATTAAAAGCCAATAGCAAATATATTATAATGTATTATTTCATTTTTATTTTGTTCTAGTTGTTCTAGTCTTATATATTTCAATTCATTGCTAAATAAAAATAAATAAATAAAAAAAGGGCTGTGAGCACTCAGTTTTGTTTAACATGTTTCCTAGTTTGTTTCTCTCTTTTTTCTAAAATGACTTAATACCAGCTGTTTTCAAAAGTTCCCTCCATCTTCTCTGGTCAGTTTATTTGAACACCGGAACCCTGTCCATAACATTAGGTGGGATATTCAGGTAAAACCCACACAAAATCTCAGGATTTATAAGGATGGCCAGTGTGCGTTAGTCTTTTAATGTGAGCTTTGCATGCATACAACATTCAGAGGTCAGCAGGGTTTTCTAGGAGCAATTTCATTTAATCTTACAGGTCAATGGCGGTGCAAAGTTTAATATAAATAAGCCCGAGAGTGATAAGAGAGCGGCGTGCGAGTCAGTGTTGCAAGAGCAAGAGCTGATTCTGTCCACTGACTTCTCCCAGCTTCAGAGACGCGCTCACACCTTTAGTGTATTGATCAGCTGTTCAGGTCAGAACACATTTAGACTCGCTGCACTCCAGAACAAACACAAACACACCGAATGCACATTTCAGAACTCAGCGTGTGTTAAATCTTACTGCACTTTCATAAAACCTCACTGGATGCACAGTGCAATAATAAAAAAACCCACCACCTCAGCAGCTACATAAGATGCAGTAATCAATAGAACTTATATTTTGGAATTTTTGTCTTGATTTTCAGTACAAATGTTTAAACATTCTTGAATCAAGATACATTTATTTCAGAAGCAAAATTGTTTTGAAAAGATTATCAAAATGAAGTGTTTTTACTTGAAACAAGAATAAATATTTGCCAGTGGGGTCAGAAAAATAATCGTTTTCTTTTTAAATTATTTTTCTAACCCCACTGTCAGATTTTTTTTTCTTGCTTTAGTCTTAAATTCACTTAATTTAGACATTTTGTACTTAATATCTTAACTAATTTTGCTTCTCAAGTAAATGAATCTTGATTTCTGAATGTTTAGATAATTTTTTTTTAAAGAAATTAATACTTTTATTCATCAAGGATGCTTTAAATCGATCAAAAGCGACAGTAAAGACGTTTATAATGTTACAAAAGATTTCTATTTCAAATAAATGCTGTTCTTTTGAACTTTCTGTTCACCTGTGAATCCTGAAAAACAAAATGTATCACAGTTTCCACAAAAATATTGTGCAGCACGACTGTTTTCAACATTGATAATAATCAGAAATGTTTCTTGAGCAGCAAATCAGCATATTAGAATGATTTCTGATGTTCATGTGACACTGAAGACTGGAGTAATGATGCTGAAAATACAGCTGCGCATCACAGAAATAAATACAGAGAGTTAGGGTTAGGGTTAGGGTTACAGTACAGAGAGAGGTACAAATGAGATGGAGTGTCTCCACCGCTGGACTGTGGAGACATAATGACGAGAAGCCCTCCATCTCTCTCACACCTGCTCAGATCCTCCTCTGGACTTAAACTCCTCAGCGGGGCACATATAATTACACCAGCAGAAGCAGGGAAGTTTTCCAGAGAGACCGTAATGATGCAAACGGGCAGCGTTTGACGGACAGCTGTAAAGCCTTAGCATAAGCCAGAAAGAGTTTTTGCAGCTAAACGGGAGCTACATGAAAGCGCTGCTGTAATTTGTGAGGATAGTGGATATCTAGTGCTGCTCCGAGTCCTCTGAGCTCCACGAGGAGCGATGCCTTCCAGATCTGACAAAATCCTGCCACTTTAAGCTGAACATGCCTTGTTAACGTCTGCAATCTGATGCACATATTTGTATTCACAGGTTTGATTATTAAACCAATTACCTCCTATTTTGGGCTCATGTCCAAACACATGAAAGCCATTGCTTAAAGTTCATGCAAAAAACAAACACACACACACACACACACACACACAAACACAATCACACACACACACACACACACACACACACACACACACACACGCACGCACACACATTTACATTTATTCATGTAGAAGATGCTTTTATCCAAAGCGACTTACAATGTTATGAAAATGTTATTTCTCAGTGTTCTCTGATCATTTTGATCTGAATGTTTTACAAACGTCTTTTCTTGGTTATGTGAACATTAAGGGAACATTCCGTTTTATCATTTTGCAAACATTATGGAAATGTTACATTTGAATGTTCTCTGAACATAGCAACAGTACCATTTAAAAAAAAATAAATGGTAGCAAAACATCCAATTAAAACGTTTCAGAACAAAAAAACGTGTCATGAACAATGTATAAATGACATTTTTGAGAATGTTACTAAAGGCCAGATAACTCGGAATGAATGTTCTATTAACATTATTAAAGCAACAGTTCGTGCAAAAATTTAAATCTACACACCCACATACTTGTATACTGTCAAAAAACAGTTAATAAAATGTTCTAAGAATGTTTTGCTAATGTTCCCATTAAGTTATGAAAACGTTATTTCTGGATGTTTTCTGAACGTTAAAGAAACATTTCTCTTTTATCATTTTGCAAACATTATGAGAACTTTTGAATATTCTCTGAACATAGTAGCATTCAAAAATCAATGGTAGATGAACGTCCAATTGAAACGTTTCAGAAAAAAGCTCCCTGAACGATGTATAAATCATGTTTTTGTGCAAATGTTTTGAGAATGTTTTTGCTTTTTGCAAAAGCTCATTTTGTATAATTTAAAAAAAACAAGCTAATAAAAATGTTTACTTGTTGCTAACGTTCCTGTTAAGTTATGAAAACATTATTTCTGGAGGTTCTCTGAACGTGATCATCCGAAACGTCTTTTCTTGGTTATGTGAACATTAATGGGACAATTCATTGTATCATTTTGCAAATTTTACTTTTGAATGTTCTCTGAACGTTCTGAAACAGTAGTAACATATTTTTTTAAAAATGGTTTAAAAATTTAAAAATATTTACATTTTGATTAAATGCAACTAAAACGTTTCTGGAAAAAAAGTTCCATAAACGATGTATAAAAAAAACGTTTGTGCTTATGTTTTAAGGATGTTATTAAAGATAACCAGATAACTTTGAATAGACGTTTTATAAACGTTACCAGAATGTTTGTTCATAACTTTCAGAGAACCTTGTCCAATCACTCTGAGCATGTTCCCTGTTAGCTGGGACGATTTTGAACAACCTTTTTTGGAGTTATAACAACACAATTTTTATTTTATGGGTCAACTATCCCTTTTAAATGAAAGTTATAACGTTTTCTTTAGCATAGATTGGAAAACCAAGTCCTCACCTTGAGTTTGGAGAGCTGGCCGAGGTCCTTGGCAGCGCTGAAAATCATCTGAGCCCCTTGCTGTTAAACAAAAGCACAAAACATTTTGTTTGTTCATGTCACTAACTGGAATAGTATTTTCCAAAAACAATAACGGCCATTGTGACAACATTGAAAAAAAAAAATATATATATATATATATACTGTATATGGCTTTGATTAAATACTCTATTTTTATACATGTATTTTATTTTAGAAATGGAATATATAAGCTTTGCATCATTTTATTTTATTTTAACTATAAAGTAAAATATACAAGGCCTACCTTAAATATATTTTATTTTATAGCTATGAAATAAAAAATAAAAGCCATACACTAAATATTTAATTTAATAAAATTTTAGCTATTAAGTCAAATATATAGGCCCTAAATTATAGAGTATATATTTTTATTTTATCTATGAAATAAAATATATAAGCTATGCATTGTTTTATTTTATAGCTTTGAAATAATATATATATACATACATACATATATAAGATCTCATTATTTAATATTTTATCTATGAAATAAAATCTGTTAAGCTCTCCATTATTCTCTTTTATCTTAGCTATAAAGTGAAATACACACGGCCTCCATTACATTACATTTTATTTTTATTTCATTTTATATCATTTTTATTCATTCATTTCATTTTCATTTTATAGCTATGAAATAAAATATACGAGCCCTCCATAAAAAATATTGAATTTTATAAATAAATAAATAAATAAATATGTTTAAAACTATGAAACATCTGGTGTTCCTAATTATGTTTATTCCTCTTTGTAGATCACCTTAACCGCTAAACAGCACTTTTCAAAAAGGAGCACGTTTCTTTCCATCCTGAGCTGATCTGTGATTGTGTCTTCACTCACATTTCCATGAGCTTGTGTTAGGAGCAGATGCAGAGAGACACGTCTCGTGTGTGTGTGTGTGTGTGTGTGTGTGTGTGTGAGTGTGAGTGTGTGTG